GGCCTCAGCCAGGGCGCGGGGGCCCTCAGCCAGGGCGCGGCTGCCAAATGCCACCTAGGACCAGGAGGGACACTGGCCAAGCCCTGACACCCCTGGGCTCTCCAAAACGAGCTGCAGGTGCCCCGGCGGCAGGTGAGAGCCGGGGTGGGGCAGGGGAGGAGCAGGGAGCCGCACTGTAATGGTCTGCTCCCATTTTACTGTTCGCGGCAAACCACAACCGGCACATCAGGCTCTGACGTCACATGCAAACAACAGGACCTCACCAAAGGGTGAGCACCTTGCTCCTTCATACTCAGGCAATGCTCCTGAAGTGGTGGAGGGAAGCCCAGTGGGTGCGGGCTGGGGAAGCCGGGGCAGTTAAGGGTACCATGAGGGCGTCTCTCAGGGTGAGAGAATCGTCTACACTTGAGTATGGTGGAGGTGTGTGAGCCTACACATGCAATCAAATCCATAGGTCTGTACACACAGGCAAATAAGTGGGGGTAAAAATAGGTAAAACTCAAGTCAGCCCACAGCATAGCTGTTAGTATCATGCTAGCATCAGGTTTCAAGTTTCTTAAGCCTTTTAAGATCTCTGTCTATCCATCCATCCATCCGAGAGGCAGAGTGAAAGCAAGAGAGATCACCTATCCGCTGGTTCACTCCCCAAGGGGCCGAAACAGCAACGGCTGGGCCAGGCTGAAGCCAGAGCCTGCAACTACATCCAGGTCTCCCGCATGGGTGGCAGGAGCTTAAGCACTTGGGCCAGCGTCTGATGCCTTCCCAAGCGCATTAATGGGGAGCCAGACTGGACGCTGAGCAGCTGGGCTTCAAACGCACACTCCAATACGGGATGCTGGGGTTAAACCTGCTGTGCCGTGCGCTAGGCCCAGCTTCCTGGCCTTGAAGTTTAAGGAATAGAGAGCTCTCATCCACTGGATACCTCCCCAAATGCTCACAACAGACAAGCCTGGGCCAGCCTGAAGCTGCAAGCTGGAGACTCAACCCAGGTCTCCCGTGTGGGTGACAGGGATCCAACTGATACAGCCATCACCGCTGCCCCCAGGGGTCTGACTGGCAGGAAGCTGGATGTGGGGGTGGAGCCAGGACTTGAACCTGGGCAACCTGACGAGGGACACGCGTGTCCCCACCAGCATCTTCTGAACCTCTGCGGACTGCCTGCTCCAGCTTCCGGCTTCTGAAGGTCCCCTGGGGTCCTGGAAGACACTGTGGTTGGGCGAAGCTTGGGAAGGGTCCACAGGAACTCTGTGCTGCTTTTGTAAATTTTGGGAGTCTAAAATTATTTCAAATTGACAGTCGCATTTCAGATCTGGAGCGATTTCAAAATAAGAAGTTTCAGTCATGCACAGATGCTTCACAACCTGAAATGACTAGACAGCTGGTGTGCACAAACGGTGCGGCTAGCACACGAGTGTGGCGTGGGGGTGCCACGGCAGGGAAGGGCCGCTGAGGTCCTGCCACCTCCATGGGGGTTTGGCACCTGGTGAGCATCTCGGGCAGAAGTCTTCAGGTGGGGGCTGTCTGACCTGATATGCTGGACAGAAGGCGGCATCTGACCTGCGCCTGGCCCTGGGGGGTGGGCAGACCAGGGATGGGCTTGATGGCCAGGCACGAGCCACCATCCACCTGCTCTCCCGGTACCTGTAGCTAAAGGGCCAGGATCTGAGTGCAGTGTGGCCTCCCCACGAGGCCCATAAAGGAAGCCCTCGCCAGCCAGTCTGTCCCAGCACTTAGCGTACAGTACGCTGGTGGACACCATTAGTGTGAGGCCGGAAGGATGCTGGGGAGGGCCACCAGGCTGGATGGAGCTGGCCCCTGTTTAAGGGACAGGCTGCGGCACAGGAGGGCAAGGGGGGGACCCTCCTGCATGGCACGGAGGGCCCCTGGCCAGGGAAGCATCTGACGCCAGAAGGAGGGTCCCCAGTGAGAGAGGGAGCCAGGGCTGGCCTCCAGGACACAGTACTAAGCTCAGCCCTCCAAAGGCCACGCGTCCCAGGCCCCCACGGGCTGTGAGCGTTTGTACCGATTAAACCCAGGCTTCAACCCTTGAGGCTGCACCATCCCACAGGGCTCCAGGCCACAGAGGTCATCAGCACAGGGCCCAGGCTCGGAGTTTCCAGGGCTGGGACTTGCAGGGTGAAGGACAGGGCAGGCTTGGGTGGGCCCAGGGGGCAGGGGAGCCTGGGGGCTGCAGGCCTGCCACCGGCTCCTGAGCTGGGCGACCGTGGCGAGTTCCCGTCTCCTTGGGTGACGACGACACGGTGTCTGACTCCATGTGGTGGGATGGATGGGAGGGCCGAGCAGTTATCACAAGCCAAGGACGTGGGAAAGCAGCCCCAGGCAGGAATGTGGGCGGCCCTCGCGCCTGGCCGCAGCAGCCAAGCAGACCCTGGCCGCTGTAGCAGTGGTGACCACAAGAGTCTGGAATTTGTCCCAGGGTGTTACTACCGGTGACACTGGTGTTATCTCCATTGTCTGTATACAAGCTGAAGTAACAGTACTAGTCACAGCAGCAGCATTAGCCTTACTATCATTGCCATCTGTGGCAGTAACGCCAGTATTGTTGGTCCTATCAGTTGTAGCAGAAGTGGTAGTAGTAGTACTATCCGTGGCAGCAGCAGTGCTGGTGTTGTCACCGTCACCTGGCAGCAGCAGTGCTGGTGTTGTCACCGTCACCTGGCAGCAGTGCTGGTGTTGTCACCGTCACCTGGCAGCAGCAGTGCTGGTGTTGTCACCGTCACCATGGCAGCAGCAGTGCTGGTGTTGTCACCGTCACCTGGCAGCAGTGCTGGTGTTGTCACCATCACCTGGCAGCAGCAGTGCTGGTGTTGTCACCGTCACCGTGGCAGCAGTGCTGGTGTTGTCACCGTCACCGTGGCAGCAGTGCTGGTGTTGTCACCGTCACCTGGCAGCAGCAGTGCTGGTGTTGTCACCGTCACCCTGGCAGCAGCAGGTCCCCTTTGCTGTGGTTATTGTATGGCGGCAGCAGCGGTGGTGGCGGTGGCAGTAGCAGTCTCTGTCTCCCCAGCGGACACCACGGGGCCAACCACAGGTGCCCAGCGAGAGGCAGGACGTTGGGCAGCGAATGCCGTCCCTGTTGTGGCCGTGGCGTTCGGAGCAGGGGCTGCGAGGGGCAGTGTGCTGACAGCGGCCCTTCCCCCGCTGCCTCCCAGGTGCGGGGCCCTCCCTGCCCTCCGAGGGGCTCGCTGGCCGCAGGCACCGTGTGCCAGGGCTTGAGACCACGTCCCCCCTTTGGAGCCTGCTGGGCCCCGCAGTCGCCGGCCTCTCTTTCCTCTTCCTCCCACTTCGTCACAGGTGGTTCTTTGCACAGGGTCTCTGGGCAGGGGCTGTCAGGGAGCCCTGTGACTGACTGGGCAGGGTCCTGGGCAGGCAGACTGGAGAGCTGCCCGCAAATCCTGGGTGCACACGGGGGTCGGCAGAGGGGAGCAGCAGGAAGAGCACGCACAAAGTGACTGCTGCCGGCCATCCCGCCTGCCTCAGCCACAGCCCGCCCGCCTCACGACCCTCGCAGTCTCTGCAGAGAAGCGGCGACCTGTAGTTCAGCCCAGCCTCTCCGGCACAGCCTGTGTCAAAGGTTCCCGAGTGTGCGGTCTGAGCGGGCACCCAGGCACGGTGATCTCGCCCTGCAGGAAGATGCGGCCCCTCCCTGCGTCGGCGAGCTGGGAAGGCAGGTGTCTGTCCACGTGGGCGCAGGCGTGGCACCTGCGCGAGTCAGCCTCGTAGTGCGTTCTAGGTCTGGCCACGCCGCTCCCATCTGAGGTTTCCCAGGGAAAGAATCTCAGAGCTGCGTCTGACCACGCCTGGCCCACGTGCCCTTCCTGCTCGGACCCCTGCCGCAGGGCTCGGAAGAAACGGCATCGAGGCAGCATGACACGACTCCGAGTGCCCCGCCAGCAGCAGCTTACGGAGGCTGGGGCCCTGCCACGGCCGGGACGCGCGTGGGCAGCTGGGCGGCAGTGGTGGGAGCCACCCTCAGAAGGCAGGGAATTCTGTGAAACACTGTAATAAAGCCAGGGTCTGACCCGCTCTCTACCTCCCACCTGATGGTGCGACCTGTCACCCTCACCACACCCACCTTGATGCCCTCTGCCACAGGGCCAACCGACCTTGGCCTCGGCACCTTGCAGACCCTGAGCTGAGCGGCTCCTCTCAGCTCCAGCACGTGGCTGAAGAGGCGAGAGCCGGGCGGACCCAGCCCATGAAGCTGAAGGCAGAGACAGGGCAGAGTCCCCGACGCTTGCGTGCTGTTCTGCTCTGGGTGCTCCTGGGGGCTTTCCCAGGGGGTCGAGCCCCTGGTCCTCGCTGAGGCTGGCTGGCGAGGGCTGGCCTTGCTGCTGCCGAGCCCAGGCAGCTGGGGCTGGAGCCAAGGCTGCCCCCAAGTCACAGCAGGAGGGACGGCTCCCAGAGATGCTGAAAGGAGAGAGCAGCCCACCGGCCTGCACGCGGTGCTGTGCATCTCAGCATCTGGTCATCTGCTCCAGGCTGGCAGGGAGAAGGTGGGCACCCGGCCTGGCCCCCCTACCCTGAGGTGGCCACCTGCAGGCCCAAGGGAGTGGGGTCGCTGCTCATGAGCCACTGCATCCTGACCACAGTGGCATCCAATGGCGCAGTCACCAGACACGTAGCTGGGGCCATGGGCAGAGACATGCGTGCAAGGTGGATGTGGGTTCTCACAGAGGAAAACGCCTCAGAGACAGGACCACCGGTGGACCACTCCTCCATGTGGCCATTTTCCTTGGACTTCCTGGCTTCAGAGCCCAAGCCACAGGCACAAGCAGGGGACGCTCCGGTTCCGTGCTCTACGTGACGTCCCCACGCTGGACACTTGCTGCCAGGAGCCCCGCACACTGGTGCTGACCCTCAGACCCCATGGTACGTTGGCCTGAGCTTGACCAGTGAGGAAGGCAAGGCAGGAGGGTGAAAGGCCACGCACTCACAGGCGACAGGACAGACCCCAGCCCTGGACTGCAGTCCCTGGCCCCTCTGCCCACCCCGCAGGTTCCCTGGCCCAGGTCCTGGAGCCTGCCCACCTGGGGCTGCAGGAGTCAGTCACCCCATCTCTGCAGGCTGTCTGCTCATCCATGGCTTCCACAACCAGGCGGCAAATTTCAAGTCAGACTCTGCCAGGCACGGGGGCGTCTCCTCAGCCACAGCCAAGACCTCTCTCTCTCTCTCTCTGGCCAAGGAGCAGCCTGGGATCTGCCAGGGCACGGCAGTGCTCCAGCTCCCAAGTGCCCAGCTGCCCCTGTGCCCAGGTGCACTGTGTGACCAGGGCACGAGGACGTGGGAACTCGGGCTTCTCACACTTCCCTGCCTGGGCTGGTGACCTCACCTCTCAGTGACCTCGCCTCTTAGCGGCTTACACTCTTAATTAGTAACATAACCTCTCCGTTAGCAACGTAACTTCTTGGTGACGTCACCTCTTGGTTCATGACGTCACCTTTTGGTGAGGTGACTCCCAGCCCCAGATACGCTGCATTTCAGAGCACGCGGCCGTGGGTGCCAGGGAAAGGGGGCACCGGAGCAGGAAAGACTGTGCCGCGGCGCCGAGACGGCGGAAACTCCCACTCACGGCACCGCCGCACAATGACCTCCTCTCCCAGGAAAGCACTCATGGAGGGGCCCCGCTGCGGCCATCCTGGGGACCCACAGAGACGCGGCCTCACACACACGGCACAGGCAGGGTGCCCAGCACACGTGTCGTCGGAGCACGCTCATCGTGGGAAGGGAGCCCTGTGTGCAGACGCCGTGTCTCCTTCCTCCCGACAGCACCACGAGCACAGCTGCCCGGCGGAGCTGCTCCCAGCCTCGTCTGTCCTCAGGACCCGACCCTGGCCTCTCACAGCCGCGTCCTCGGGACCAGGTTCCATGTCTCTGAGCCCAGTGTACTCAGCGTGAACAGGAGGCGGACTCGGGGCCGAGCCCGACCACACTCATCACGTGCCTGCCATGGAGACTCCAGGACCCGCCCGGCCGTGCACCACTGCTGCAGCTGCCGGCACCCCAGAGGCCGCGGTGGCTGAGCCACGCTGGCAGCCTCACAGTGAGAGCGCCTGCCCACGGGAGACAAGGGGAAGCCTAGGGCGGGTCCCTTCCCTTCCTCCCGGAGACAGCATGGGCAGGTAGTCGGTCCGAGCGCGCCTCACTTCTCCCTGGTCTGGCCTGAAGACAGGGCTGTGCGCTCCATCTCAGGCAACCCTGGGCATCAGCTCTCTTGCTTCCCCGTCTTGACGGAGCTCCCTGTCTGTGACAGACGCTGTCGGTGCCCGGGGGCCCCCACTCCAGGCTCTCGATCACCCCCTGCTCCACTTGAGTTATTCCTGATGCCCCCCTCTGCTCAGTCCCAAAACGAGCCCAGGTGGTCCCATGGGTGCTGCTCATGTGTCCTGGCCAGCAACAAAGACGTGTCCCTTTTTGCCACCCCCAACACCCCAGCCGCACATTCAACCTGAAAACAAGGCTGAGGACCATCCGTGGGGATGGCGATATGGCCAGGCGGGTTAAGCCACTGCACAGCCAGCATCCCACGTGGGCACTGGTTAGAGTCCCGGCTGCTCCACTTCCGAGCCAGCTCCCTGCTAATGCACCTGGGAAAGCAGCGGATGAGGGACTCCAGTTCCCATGTGGGAGACTGGACGGAGTTTCTGGCTCCCGATTTCAGCCTGGCCCAGCCACAGCTGTTGTAGTCATTTGGAGGAGTGAACCAGTGGATAGAAGATCTCTCTCTCTCTCTCTCTGCCTCTCCCTCTAACTGCCCTTCAAATAAATGAAATCTTTTTAAAACTATGTGATCTCAAAAAATAAAGAAAGAAACATCTGTGGAACTGAATTCGTGAGCATGGGTGCTTTCGGCCAGCCTCACTCAGTAGTGCTGGACTGTGCTAAGACGCACTGTTCTCCATGGTAGGAAACACAGTCCCCGGCTGGTGCCGCGGCTCACTAGGCTAATCCTCCACCTGCGGCGCCAGTACTCTGGGTTCTAGTCCCGGTTGGGGCGCCGGATTCTGACCCGGTTGCCCCTCTTCCAGGCCAGCTCTCTGCTGTGGCCCAGGAGTGCAGTGGAGGATGGCCCAGGTGCTTGGGCCCTGCACCCCATGGGAGACCAGGAGGAAGCGCCTGGCTCCTGCCTTCGGATTGGCGCAGCGCGCCGGCCATAGCAGCCATTTGGGGGGTAAACCAACGGAAGGAAGACCTTTCTCTCTGTCTCTCTCACTGTCTAACTCTGCCTGTCAAAAACAAACACAGTCCTCAAGGAGCCACTTAAGATGCACCGCCTTCCCCAGGGGCATGGAAACCACACCGCATGGCCACATGCCCGTGACTGCTGCTAGAGACGTGTAGTGTCAGTGCTCGGGAGTCCTGCTGCCTGTACCATCACGCCATTATTTCATCGTCCCCTCCACCTCTCCCGAGATCTGTACCTTAACTGCTTTTGTGTTGCTCGAGATGTCTTCCTCACTCACCCACGCGATTTGATTGACCTCGAAACTTCTTTTAGTAGAGTAGGGGAAGGAGGCACGGGGGGCGCCTGGGTTTGAACATCACCTGCTCTCTCGTAACCTGCAAGCTTCTCGCAGGCGCCTGAAGGA